GAGAGCTGCCCACTTAAGGCTTTAGGGGTTTAGGGTTTAGGGTTAAGGGTTTAGGGTTTGGGGTTTAGGGATATCGGGCTTAGGGATTTCCTGTATGGCATTCCCGGACTTAGGCGGTTTAAGATGGCTTAGGGCTGATGTCTTGCTTTAGAGTGCACATGCCTGGATGCTACGAAGACTCTCTCCTTCAATAGCCGGCCCCCAAAAAAGTTCAAACTTTCTATCACCGACTAAATATGGGAGTTTCCGAAAATAGGGGACCCTAATATAGTACCCTAAATAATAGGATCCTTATTATAAGGACCCCAAAATAAGGTACCCCTAATTTTCGGAAACCCCCATATATCATGCCGAAAAGCTTAAAGTTCTCCAATGGACTATCTATGACTAGAGCTATCCGGGGCTGGTTTGGCGTTCAGGGGTCTTCGGTGTCTGTCCTTGCTCTAGGTTGTGGTTTTTGGTTCTACGTGTTACCATGCCTCGCACTGTAGTCACCATTCAATGGTGCGAAGGATAAAGTATCAGCCGATGCAGAATCCGATCGCAACAGTCTGAGCTCTTAAAAGCCATTCCCGACACCACTAAACCCTGGAATTTCTGAACCCCACCCCGCGAATCCCGAATGCCTACACCCGAAAGCCCGAAACCACCCACACCCGAAATCACAAACCCCTGGACCCAAGCCCCTGAATTCCCAAAACAACACCCCCACAAAACCCTAAACCCTAAACCCCTAAACCTCGAAACCCCTAAACCCTAAACCCTATACCCCTAAACCCTAAACTCCAAAAATCCCTAAACCCCTAAACCCTAAACCCTAAACCCCAAACCCTAAAACCCTAAACCCTAAACCCTAAACCCTAAACCCCAAAAAAGCCCCCAACAGCCCAGACACATGGGCAGCGCCATGGGCTCCGCGCGCGCCGCGGCGCGCTGCTGCTCCACGGCAGACCACTGCTCGGTCCACTTCCTCAGCGCCAAAAAGGGTTTAGGGTTTAGGGTTTAGGGTTTGGGGTTTGGGGTTTAGGGTTTGGGGTTTGGGGTTTAAGTTTAGGGTTTAGGGTTGAGGGTTTAGGACCGATAACGATGAACGTCAGAATAATCATGACTATCATCATTGTCGACAGGATACCCATAAGAATAGAACAAATTCAAATGAATACTCATACAACTACAATATGGACAATGGTGCAATCAGTATTATTTGTCAAGAACAACAGTAGTCATAAACAACACTGATAGCAATACTTCAGTATCGACGGTAAAGAAAGCCTTTTGGAACCTGAAGCGCAACATCAGCGCAGATCCAATGCGCAAAGGCCCCTCCACCGGCACCCAAAACCGAAAGTCTTTCAATTCCATCTAAGGTTCGAAGTATGGGTCCCTAAAAGGGCCGCTTAGGCCTTTCTAGGGACCCTTAAGGGGACATGAAGGGTAAATAGCAGGTGAATAAGGATCCCAGGGTTACCCATACTAGGGGCCCATGGTTTCAACCCTGGATTCCAATAACCCCAACGACTACGCCCGAGGACCCCAATTCGCCCCTTCATGTTGGCCTTAGGAGTTGAGCTTTGGGCTGAGCGATAGATGCTTAGTTGCTTCTACGTCTCGGGTATCCTATGGCTGCAGAGTCGGGATATTAGGGATCTTCGCGGGCTTGGTGGTTGCAGAACTTTTGTGGTTTGGAACTGTTTAAGCCAGCGGCAAAACCTTAGAGGCCACCCTCCCAACCTTTACATGGGGTTATCGCTTTTGGGCAGGCACCTTATCGTTCTGCAACATTTCCGGCTATCTATCTACAAGCGCTCAATTCGACGTATGAGCGGCTGTCTAAACTTCGTTCAACTGTACAACTTTAGTACTGGAAATGCCTCGTCTTGGCTCCTGGCTGGATTGTGCTGGGTTGTAGTACAACTTTAGTACTGGAAATGCCTCGTTTGGGATCCTGGCTGGATTGTGCTGGGTTGTAGTACAACTTTAGGACTAGTTGTAATACAACTTTAGTACTGGAAATGCCTCGTTTGGGGTCCTGGCTGGATTGTGCTGGGTTGTAGTACAACTTTAGTACTGCAAATGCCTCGTTTGGGGTCCTGGCTGGACTGTGCTGGGTTGTAGTACAACTTTAGTACTGGAAATGCCTGGTTTGGGGTCCTCGCTGGATTGTGCTGGGTTGTAGTACAACTGTAGTACTCCAAACGTATCGTTTTGAGTTTTGGCTCATCTTGATGTTATTGGTGGGTTACCGCTTTTGGGCAGGCGCCTTATCGTTCTGCAATGTAAATGTTAGCATCCTTCCGCCCAGGTAGGCCCGCAGACTAATCTTATGTTCGGAGAGAAACGCCTGTAGCTCTTTTGCTACAGTTGCATTGAAGGACACGCGACCACAGTTGTGTGCAAGATGTTCTGCTGACGCTCCCCCAAACTGACGCAAGACGACCTCAACAAAATCGAACCCCTGGCATGCAACCTTAACCTTCGAAAAACTTTAAACACAGACAAAAACTCATCCCAAAGCTTGTCATTCCCCGAGCCCAACAGCAGTCAGTATAACAAGCAGCATCGTTTCCCTACTAATTCAGTGAATCAAGTTGCAAATGTGCACATACATACAGATATGAACAGGTGAAATATAGGTATTTCTTTGATGCTGTACTGCCGTTCACCAACATCTGTCATCGCTTCTGCTATCCTTGCAAGTACGCGGAAAAACAAGAATCAACCCTAAGCCCTGAACTCGTGGTGACAGGGATCCATGGTGCGAAGCTCGTAAGACGAGGGACCTTCATGATATTTAATGATTGGAATGGGGTTTGTGAATACAGTATATTATATTCCAGATATCTAGAGACTATAAAGCGATACCACCACGGAGTATTTTGATTCCCATATTTTTCCTGTCCGGGTCGCCGGGTCAGGCTGGGAACCTCTTCGTCGCCACGACCGGCCGCTGCCAGCTCCTCAAGCTGTCCGATTGTCATTAAATTTAGGGCTTAACGGCTGGAACGCAAAAAGCACCGGCGCCAGCATATACAAGATCACCAAATCCTAGGCTGACGCTGATGATTCCGACATCCTCGGCATTCCTCGACGACACATAAACTGCTCTGCCCCAAACTCTAAACCCTAAACCCGAAACCCGAAACCCTAAACCCTAAAACCCTAAACCCTAAACCCTACTAAACCCTAAACAACCCTAAACCCTAAACCCTACTAAACCCTAAACAACCCTAAACCCTAA